GGTCGCCGATAGAGAAGCGCAGAGCTGATTGTTGATGAGTGTAGGTAAAACGACGGTAGCATTCTTGGGCAGCAGTAAGATGCTCATGCAGAGTATGTTGCAGCTCCAGGAGGCAGTGAAGTTGATCTTCTGTGCTGGGACTGATAGAGTCGAGGGTGCTCGAGGAAATCTCTGTTGACGAAGAAGAGCATTTGCCCCATGGAAGTGTGAACGGAGTTGTTGTAGGAAAACTTGGCTAGAGGTAGAAAATCCACCTAGTCATCTTGCTGATAGCTAATGAAGCACCAAAGATTTGGTAATCTTGTGCTAAATCTCCCAGCCGCTTAGCCGCCTAACCGCCTGTTGACCTGGTCTTCAGTTGACAGTCAACGGGCATCACAACCGTTGTCGACCCCGCTGAGATGCTTGACAGGGCCATGAATAAAAATGGAGCTGGACTATTGTCAATAATTACCTTGAAAGGACCAGCAACGACACGAACCATGGTCCTTGACGCCAATCGCGTTGCCATTACGATCTTGCGTCTTAGCTGGGTTATCTTGCTTATCGGGCACCCAAAACCTGCAATAGAGTCACAAAGACTAGAAAAAGGAGTGCTCCTTAAACCTGACATCCATCAGCTTCTCGGGGTTTGTGAACGCCGGAGGAAAGCTCTAGAAAGCTCTCAGCGCTCTGATCTCTTGGATCGAAGCTTAGGCAGCAGCGCAAAGGAGAGCATAAGGAAATGGCACCGTGCTAATGTGCTAACGATCAAAAAAGCACTTGCAAAAAAAAAACAAAAACAAAAAAGGAGCAGCGCAGTGAAGGCTGAGGAGGCGAACAATAGGTGAACTATCAGCATGCCTGCTAGAGTCTAGAAAGCATGGAGGGACAAAAACTTATAGAATAGTGATAAGAGTAGACAAAGATGCTCCTAAACTTCCGTCCCTCTGGTCAGTTCGAACTACAACTCTATTATAAATGCCGCTTGAATGACTCTAGGCACTGACCGACATGATAGCGCAACCTTTTGTCCAGCATTGCATCAGAAATGGTGACTGGTAGATTAGGAGGCACATACTCCTGTACCATGGTAACAAACTCTGGCTTCTCACCCTGCTTCACACAATCCGACAGAGCCCTGGTCATGTGTATGAGGTAGAACGCGGGCCTTGTACCGAGCATAACTATCCCTGGAATGACCTTCTCTTCTGGATACGCCGGAAGCACAAGCCTCTCACACAGATCCACATTCTCTTGATACGCAGCAATTGCCTCTGCTATCAATTGTGGTACAGGATGGTGACCTTTCAGATCCCTGTCCTTCCCAACGAGTAATCTGATGGAGGTATCCTCATCTTCAACGCAAACATCCGGAGTAGCTTCGGTTTTCCGATTCGACATTTCCAGCTGCAACGTGCATCTTGTTCTGACTGACCTTTCCCCTGAATCATAGTCAAACAGCTGGAGCAACGATTTGGACATGTCATCCACGGCACTCTCGTCGTTCCTGTGAGACTTGGTCACAGCGATCAGATCTTTGGCAGCATGCTTCACTTGGCTTGATACCACATCCTTGGTCTTGGGACGCACAACTTCCAGATTCAGGTCTAGAAACTCCGCAACCTCCTGGTTAAACTGTTCCCTTGGTTTTTCTTTGAAAAAAGCTTCAAAACCAGCCTCACGGACTACGTGAATGTTGAAGAACTGCAACTGCTCCTCTGTCCAATTCGAGCCGGAAGTGCATGGAATTCTCTTTCTGGCCACACCTGACCGGGACGAGGTCGCTGCTGCTGCTGCCTCAGGAGTCGCTTTCTCAATCGCTGTTGCTGCCTCAGAAATCGCTATCTCAATCGCTGCTCTGCTCTTACCGATTCCCACCAAACCTGAGGTTACTGCTTGAGCCTCGGAAGATGCCCCCGAGGCCGCCGGAGCCGCTCCACCCTTTCGCTTCTTCGCCATCTTAGGGCTATGCGGGTTTAAATATCTTGGCTTCCTTGAAATCAATGAAGCAACATATCAAGTGTTATCCTCACCTACAGTCTGTGGTTTCTAAGCTTAGCTTATACAATGACTTCAGTAGAAGATAAAAGTCCTCGAGGATGAGAATCTGGAACATCAATCTTTGTTTGGTTTCCTTTTTTCTTTTTTCTATGATCCGAAGGCGAAGCTAAACCCCATGTATTTGAAGACGGCTCCCATCAGTGGATGCTCAATCTTTGGAAGAAGATGATGCTGCCACCCTGCATCCATGGCTGTGCGCCGGACCACCGGGACGTGACGTTGACAAACGCTTCGCGCTGCTTGAGAAGATGGTGGTTGTAAGCCTGTCATCGCCATATACTCTTTTCAAGATAATCTATGTTGTGACTTACACAACCAAGGCTGGGAAGATGCTGGTCAGACACAAAGGGCACCCTTTCCAACTGCACTTGCCCCTGTTCCTATTAATCAACTATGCCAAAATGGAACCATGGGCATACTACTTCACATTGGATTTAAGGGTCCAATTCAAGCTACCACTTTATGTTGGATGCATCACAACTTGTAAGTTCTTAACTAAGCTCAAGAATTTAGTTTATAAACAATGAAAGTTGATAAATTATAAATATAAATTAATTTAAATGATTAATATGGTAAATTATGATCCCATACATGAAGGGGATTCCACCGAATTACATCAAAGTCCTTGAGAACTACAATAGTGGCAACAGGGGTTGTAAAGGTATCCAAAAATATTCAAACATATTTTAGATATGTAAGGTTTGTAAATACATGTATGTATATATATGTATTACCTTGGCTAAATAATACACTAATTATAGTACTATAGCATATGGACCATTTATTTAGGATTGAATTTAGTCTATCCAATAAGCAAGGGTCTAAACCCCAATTAATATATTTATTTTTATATTTTATAAATATATCCATTACCACCAACTAAAACATTAAATAAATAGATTCATAAATACCCCATTTTTAGTCTTAATATTTATTTTGGAGTTATGGGGAAAGAATTTAGAATAGTTGCATCCAATAGCATGTGATTCCTCAAAGAAATATGGCAACCTCTTTAGCCTTGGGATGAGCGATTGCATCCATACCAACTTGTGGGAAGTGATATTACTGCAGAATATGTGTAAAAGCCAGACATTCGTATGTCATTGTCTCCACCTCTTCATAACATAGCTGGCAAAGCCATCCCTCCCAGGGGATGAGGGTGAGACCATTCCCTAACTACTGAATTCAATTGATGCCCTCTGGCCCGATATCTTCCTGTGTTTCCATCCAAGAAAACAATAGAGCTCTACACCTATAACCTAATATTCACCGTTTGCAAATACCCCTTGTAGCATCGGGACATAAATTGTATTTTCCAGAAGGAGATTTCCCAAAGTCCTCCAACTCTGGCACATAGGGCTGTAACCCTTGCAGGGTGATGCTCATCCCTTTGATGCTCAGCCCTGCCTGATTCAAAAGTTCATGTTATTTCCGAGCAACTATCAGCATGCTGCCTTCAGCGCAAACGTTCACGCACTGTGGTCAGAGCTTATGACCATCTTTGGCTCGTCATTGAAGCCGCTAGAGACGCCTGTTCTTGCGTTGCAGCTGTAGATGAGAGTGTTGGCTTCGCTGTTCATGCAGATGATCTCGCACTGGGGCCATATACCATAGTCGGCAGCCTTTGAAGACCTCTCCCAGAGCCACATACGCAAGCTTCTCGACTTCCTGGCTGCCAAAGGTATGTTCGTGATGACTGCTCATGAGGATGAAGGCACCAATGTGTAGCTTGCATTTCCTCTTGACTTGTGTTGATCTTGCACAATAGCTCCTTGATATGAGTATCTTGATTTTGTTCTTGGCAGCCATCGATTCTTGTGCACTAAATTGTTGTATCAGTGGATGACATTTGAAGGTAGGACGATAAAGGTAAGATGTATTAATTACTTTAGTCAACGGTTTTCTTCAACGGTCCAATAGGAAATATAGTGCCACATAAGGCAAGTGGCGCCGTCGCCAGCGGCATCATGCGGTTTACTATAAGCGGTGTGACACGCTCGGGGGCTATTGCGGTTGTGCGGCATTCATCCATCTCCCCTACACCCTCAAGGACGAAGATTTCTCTCTTCTCTTCCCTGTTTGCCCGGAATATCTGTCATTTTGCATGGATCAGCAGCCACCCATAGCCAAGGCGCAAGTTTGAGATTGAGAGATTGTTTGTTGATTGACATTGTTGTTATTTTTTTTTTAACAGGGTTTGGCCACGTTGGCGAACATTTTGCTCCTACCACCACTTTCAGCGACAGCCTGCCTCTGGCGTGGAAGCAGTTCTTCGTGGGCCCGTCCTGTTGGAGCGATGCCTCTTTCACAGAGGGTTCTCCCTATTCGGGCAAAAGTCAGCCTGGCAGAAGCATAATCACACCAGCTACATATCAATTTCACGAAGTGAAGGCGAGTGAGCTATGTGATGTAGAAGTGAAGTGTAGAACTTACATTTTGTTATAGGGGATGCCTTGGTGCTCTGGCTCCCAGTGCACACAATAATGTTTGTGAGGGTCGTCCTGTGGCTCACCGAGCCACCTACAATCTGTTCCTCGATACTTAGCTTAATAGCTTATACAATGACTTCATTACAATGGAATGATTTTATGATTTTCAGGCTGGGGCCGAACTAAGCTTGCAGGCACTACATTAAAAGCTCGCTAACAACTTCGACCTTGAGGTAGGAAGGCAATACTGTCACTTCAACTTCTTCCAGAAGGTTGTGGAAGACGCACTCCAGATTCTCCAGGTATAGGGTTTGGTTTCTATTTGCTCCTCTTGTAATACTCCTGTTGTCGCAGCAATTCGGCCCGACTGCATTGCGATGCAAATGTTCCACAACCGGGCTGAGTGAGCTTATTTCGCAAACCTTTGGTGCTCCATAAAGGAGCTGAGCGAGAGACTCATGAGCGGTAGAGGTAAGCTTCTTTACCTTAAGTTTCATTACACTGTTTCTATTTGTTTTGCGGAGGCCATGACATGACAATTCCGGCCTTCTTCCCGTACTAAACTCCTACTGCCGAAGCAAGATTTTATGGTACTAAAAATATCCCGCGAATATTCTCAGGAAGGCGAAGAACCCTAAATTCTCCATGCAATCGTCTCGGTCGGTGCTGCGTCTCCTCTGCCAGAGATTCCGCAATGCGGGCTACTGCCAGCAGCAATCTCCGCGTCCTCACGTCCTCGACGAGCTCCGGCGCCTGTTCAAGCTCGTTCATCCGGATCTCTTCCACAGTTACCCGCAGCACCAGGTAAATCTCTCACTTCTCTGCGCAATCGAGACTCCAATCGCTCCAATCGTGACTGGCAGGAGATCAATCAGCGCTCCTTCCAGCTCCTCCAGGAATACCTCCGCGTCGCCAAGGGCGGCCAGGTGAATTGCTCGGTCAATGAGTACAAGCTCGAATTCTACGTCCGGCGCGAGCGAGAGCCCAAGGGATTCAAGGATGAGAAGGAGGAATCGATCAAGAAGGTGGAGGTGTGCTTGCCACCGCCACAGGCAACGCTGCCAGGAACTGAGATGCTGCCTGCTACTCGATCGGCACTGGGCTTGCTACTCTCCTCGTTTGGACTCTCGCCGGAGTTCTCCGGGAACCTCACAGGCGGTGGCGAGATACTCTCCAAGAGCAGGCTGACGATGAAGCTCTCGGAGCTCTTCCAGACCGCGTCGGAGCTCCAGCGGCAGAACGAGACGACTGTTCTTGGGCAGGAGCAGCGGATGATCGTGGTCAGGAACGCGCTGCGGCTGGGCCGCGGGGTGACGGTCTCGTTCCGGAAGGATTTGCCGCCCGACTCGCAGCTCCAGTGCCTCCACTCGCTAGCTCGAGCTCTTGACAGCGTCCCGGATTGCGAGCTCAAAGGCTGCGCGCTTCTCATCGGTGATAGCTGCTGTGGCGTGGATGGTCTCGGCAACTTGTGGCTCAACCACGACGATGGTCCGGTGTTCTGGGCGGAGTTCTTCCGCCAGCTCGATGTGAGCTCCATCGCAGCGAAGCGAGCAGCAGTCCGGGAGAGGCGAGTGAAGGAGTTTCGAGCGGCACGGCTGATGGAAGTGGAGATGATCTTCGCAGACGATGCGCTCTCCTTGGAGCAGGAGTATTCTTCGTTCCTTGACAAGGTGCTGCACGAGGCCGAGGCGATTGGAGCTGTCGGTGATGGAAAGTTTCACGATCTCCCGATTCGAGTGACGAGCAGCAGTGGCAGCAGCATGAGCGTCGACGATCGAATGGGGTATATCAACGTGCCGGTGACCGAGAACTTGGCAGAGATCTACAAGTTCGTCAACGAGAGGGGCCGTGAGGCTGTCAAGAGGAGGATCGAGTTCAAGGCCGAGGAGGAGAAGCTGGGGAATCTCAATCTCCACGTCCGGAAGAAGCTGCGATTGAGGAACTTGGTGTTTGCGCCGGAGCTGGAGATGGAGCAAATCCGATCGGCTTGCATGAGACTGCTGAATCACTCCACCAGGCTGAGGCTCTTGACGGAGGGGCTGTCCATTTGCATCTCGGATGAGTATCGGCTGCCAATTCCCGGGACGAGAAGCATGATGCACTTGCGATGGAATTTCAACATGGCCGATCTCTAGATGGGCATTTTTCATCTCTAGAAATGCCCAAGAACCCTAAATTTCTGAAATGCCCAGGAACCCTAAATTTCTGGAACCAAGAACCCTAAATTTCTGGGCATCTCTATGGTGATCTTGGGGCGCTTGCGCCAGGTGATCCCATGGGCGGTGCCGTGGCGCGGCATCTCCACGAATCGCGTGCTGGGCGTGTCTGGCACGAAGAAGGGTAAGATCGTGGAGGCGGCCAAGAAGAGCGGCTACAAGAAGGGTGGGGCGGGGGCCGGCAAGAAGCTGGGCAAGAAGGGCGTGGAGAGCAAGAATGTCAAGGACGCTGGGGTCGGCGCAACGATTCGCGTCCAGGTGCAATCCAAGCGCAAGACGATCGAGCCCAAGATCAAGATCAGCGACGGCGAGCGGCAGACGATGCTGGCGGAGCTCAACCGGCTGGCCAAGGAGACCAGCCGGATCTTGATGAACGAGCACAGGGAGAAGCAGTGGTCCGAGGGGCGGATGCTGGCGGCGAAGGTGGCGGCGATCGGGGCGCTGCCGGATCACCTCCGCGCCGGGATCAAGACGCCGGTGATGGGGATGAGGAAGACGGCGCTCAAGGCAGTGCCGCCCACGATTCTACCCCCGATTGGCGGCTATGCGGTGGACACGGCCGCGTCGCTCAAGGCCGCGGTGGTGAAGAAGAGGAGGTGAGCGATTAGAGAACGTTCTCTTTTAGGGTTCTTCGCTAGAGACAGGCACAAGAGAATTCTCTAGAAACGAAGAGAGTAGATCGTTGGACCCACGAGAAACGTAGATCTTTGGACCCACGGGAGTGAGTGGTGCGTAGATCTCTATCCGCTCGAATTCGGGTAATCCAAATCACTTGCGAATTGGATCGATCAATGGAGATTTCATTGTGTGTTTCTGGTGGAGATCCATCCACCACGAGAGATTTCTAGGATCTCTCTTCCAACAATCGGTTTCTCCGAGAAAACAATCCAAACGCTAGAGATGAATTGGGTCGATCAATGAAGATTTCTCTCATTGACTCTTTGTTCTCGTGCTTCTAGTAGAATAGAAGAGAAGAGAGAGATATATAGAAACAAAGCAGTGCTTAGCTGCCCTCTTAGATCTTGTCGATGTCCTCGTCCTCAAACTCGATGTAATCGTCGCCGCCCTCCTCCTCGTCGTCCATGACGCTGGCAATCCCCTCGTTGAGCCGGATGTTATCGGGCAGCTCGTTGTACGCCTTGAGCAGCCGCGCCTCGTCGGGCTGGTACTTGAGGATCACATCCGCCTTATCATCCTGGTAGTCCCGCAGCCCCACCAGAATGATATCCCCCGCCGCGATCCACACCTTCTTGTGCATCTTGCCCCGGATGTGGCACATCCGCTTGATCCCATCGATGCACATCGACTCGCAGCGCCCGTTGCCCAGCATCCGGATCACCTGCGCGTACTCCTGCCCGTCCTCCTTGAACACGAGCTCGCGCTTCTCATCGTCCGCCTCGTTCTTACCTCGCTTCCGGTTCTTCCCTCCCTTTCCCTTGTTCTTCGGCATGCTGGATCGCCGCCGCCGCTGGTGGTGTTCGTGCTAGTCGTGGAAAGAAATCGGCGCCCGCGCCCGCGGCCCCCGCGCTCGAAACCCTCGCGCGCTGCCCCAAAAGAGACCGACCTAATTAGGGCTCTTGATATTTATGCCCCGGGAATTAGGGCTCCAGCGCGTGTACTGGCGGTGCTGTGGCGGCCCGCCACAGTAGTTGTCCAAACCCTAGTTCTTTCTTTTCACTCTCTCTTCCTCTAGGCGATCGATCGAGGTAAGCGACTGTCACGCGCGGCGCGGGGTAGATCCGGAGGCTAGGGTTTATATTTGGCCGCCATGGCTACTGCGGTTGTCGCGCAAGCATCGTCCTCCTCGTCCCTGATGCCACCGCCGCCTCCGTCAGCCGGGGCGGAGGAGATCCTAGCTCAGGCGCTGGAGATTCAAGACGCGGACCCGCCCAGGGCGATCTCGCTGCTGCAATCCGTGCTGCGGGACTCGTCCAGCGCGGCGGAGGTGCTGCGCGTGAAGGAGCAGGCAATCTCGGTGCTGTCGGAGCTCTTCTCGCAGCAAAAGAGGGCCGAGGATCTGCGCAGCCTGCTCACGGAGCTCCGCCCCTTCTTCGCCGTAATCCCAAAGGCCAAGACCGCCAAGATCGTGCGCGGGGTGATCGACGCCGTGGCCAAGATCCCAGGCACCTCCACGCTGCAAATATCGCTGTGCCGGGAGATGGTGGAGTGGACGCGCACCGAGAAGAGGACGTTCCTCCGGCAGAGAGTGGAAGCGCGCCTCGCAGCGCTGCTCATGGAAGTGAAAGACTACTCCGAGGCGCTGGCGCTCATCACGAAGCTCGTGAGAGAAGTCCGCAAGCTCGACGACAAGCTCCTCCTCGTCGACATCGATCTCCTCGAGAGCAAGCTCCACTTCGCGCTGCGCAACCTCCCCAAGGCCAAGGCGGCGCTCACGGCCGCCAGGACCGCCGCCAACGCGATCTACGTTCCTCCAGCGCAGCAGGGAACCATCGATCTCCAGAGCGGCATCCTCCACGCCGAGGAGAAGGACTACAAGACGGGCTTCAGCTACTTCTACGAGGGATTCGAGGCCTTCAACGCGCTGGACGATCCCAGGGCCGTGTTCTCGCTCAAGTACATGCTGCTGTGCAAGATCATGACCAACCAGGCCGACGACGTTGGCAGCTTGATCTCGTCCAAGGCCGGGCTCAAGTACACCGGGGTGGAGCTCGACGCCATGAAAGCTGTGGCGGAAGCTTACGCCAAGCGCTCGCTCAAGGACTTCGAGGAGGCGCTGGCCACGTACAAGCCGCAGCTGGAGGAGGATCCCATCGTCCACCGGCACCTCTCGTCGCTCTACGACACGCTGCTGGAGCAGAACCTCTGCCGGCTGATCGAGCCTTTCTCGCGGGTGGAGATCACGCACATCTCGCGGCTCATCGGGCTGCCCATTGAGACGGTGGAGAAGAAGCTGTCGCAGATGATACTGGATAAGAAGTTCTTGGGGACGCTGGACCAGGGTGCCGGGTGCCTCATCATCTTCGACTCGGCCCAAACGGATGGGATCTATCCGGCGACGCTGGATACCATCTCGAACGTGAGCAAGGTGGTGGATAGCCTCTACTTGAAGTCTGCCAAGATCATGGCTTAGAGAGCAGTGCTTGTTCTCTCTTCTTTCCACTTCCGAGAAAGTTTTTACGGCGTTTCTTCCATTATAATTTGCACAGCTCTGGAACAGCCATCCTGCATTGGAGTTCCAGTTTGAGCTTTAGACCAAATCGTAAGCGTTTAAGAGTACCTCGTCATTGATGCTGCTTGCGAGTTCCATGGCGTTTGTTTTGATTCTGTCTGTCAAAGCCTCGCGCACTGCCAGAGTTACTGCGTCCACGGCTCCCGAGATTTCAAGCTTGGTCGCATCGGGGACGAGATGGTATGGCTTGAGAGGCTGTGGAGACACTCCAAGCCATGACATTCGCTCCGCCCAGTAGAACTGGTCGAGAATAAACGGGCATATCACCTGTAAACGTGTTGGTAAGAAACACGAGGAGATTCACGAAGAGATTAGATTACCTGAGGAACTCCGGCATGAAGACAAGCAGCAGTCGTTCCACTGCGAAAACACAAAAGCGTTTGTCCGAGCCAGATGAAGATGTGAATGGCTTTGTTACCTTCCACCGTGATGAATGACTACTGAGCATTTTGGAAACAAATCGTTGTAAGGAACATATCTAGACGGAAAAGAACACGTTGCTGATTGGCAAAAGATGGAGCTTTCATACCCGGAGTAGCAGAATAAGTTGTGACCAAGAGTGAGCCCTTCTTTCTCCAGGCAAGACGTTGCCAGACCAGCAGCACTCGTAACAGCTGCTTCAAGAGACGGGTGACCGGCTGTAAAAAGCACACCGCGCATATTTACAGCTTTCAAAACATCCGTGACAACTTGTAGCATCCCCAGAGGATTTTGAAGAAAGCCCATGCTGCAGACAAAGAACACAAGTTTTGAATGCTGCCTATAGAAAAGACGCAATTGTACCTGGTTATTGAGCTCAGTCCAATAAAGACAGGCTTGGAATCGGCGCTTCTCAACAAAAATTCCGCAAGTTTTGGTGCAAGATGAGTTGTCCCCGAAACCCCACGGTCAGGTGGCAGCCAGAAGCCGCACACACGCACGCTGCTGGGCCAATAACCTATAGCACTCGCGTATCAAACTTAAGGTTACAAAAACTAGAAACTCACCTGGACATTCTACAACTTTCTCGCTGAATCCATACCTGAAGGACGAATGAATCAACGGGACAAAGTTTAAAAGCAAAGTTACAAGAGTGGTACTGAGCGGGGCCAGTCGTGAACAGGTAGTTCCGTAACGGGATCCTGAAGCAAGGAAGCTTACATTGTTATTCATTTGATGTAAAGAGCCCACCGTCAAGGGACACGCGCTAAGCCGAAGCTTTCGAACGCGCCATGACGTCCATCTGTCAGTAAAAAGCGGCCACATCCAATGTGTTACATCCTTCCATCCAACCTGGTGAATTGAATCAGAAAGCGCAAGTTTTAAAACGAGAAAATATATCGAGAGACCTCTTCAGCTGATGCTCGTTGTAGTCGCTTGTACAGACGAGGGTACACTTGTCTGAAGCTGCGCTCAAACGACGCAGGAGCACTGCGCAAGATCAAATCCAATAAAGTTTATGCGAGCACTGAGTATCTCTCTTGCCTGTAAGGCATGACATATGGCGCAAGTACGATACACCGCACATTCAAAAGCTCTGCAATATGCCAGCCTTCCTGACGAAGGAACCGAAACACAGGTAAAAGCGTGATCGTAAACTCAGACAAACCGACCAGGGCGAAGAAATTGATTGCAATGAAGCTAATGGTACCGTGGGATTCCTGACTTTCAATCGCGTCCAGGCACTCCTCCATGTGAATTTCTACGCATCGAGCACGGATGAGTGAAAGTTCACACTTTGGAACTGTGTTACCAGAAGTAAGCGAGTCTGGGAAAGAGTCCCGTTTCTGTTCAGGTGTCAAGACTGCAGGTGTTGAGACGGAGCGCAAAACAATACCAGCAGGTAAAAGGAGCGCCTTCAAAACCTGTGAATGCAACGGTTTCCAGAGATGTACAGCTAAAACCACAATACCTGATGCGAATCATGAGTGATGAACGTAATAGAATACTTCGTAGTCGCTCGAGCTAAAGCTATAGCAACGTACTGCAAGAAAATAAGAGAAACCATAAGCGCGAGTTAAGAAGCGAGCGATTGTTGAAAGAACGAAGCTCACCGCTAAAGGAAGTATGTCGCCAAGGGTACCAAAAGCCATAAACACACCAACGTTACAAGTTGCCATGCTCGAGTGAAAAACAACAGCACTTGTTATTAAACCGATAGAACTTCTTCGTCTTTGGCAAAAAGATGTCTCTTTCCTTCTCAAAAAAACAAACTAGAACGAATTCCTATCCAGGAAACCTGGCAACATCACAAAATCAAAGTGAATCCAAGAAAAACCATGAAAACTGGCAACTTTACGAACCCGATCACGCCTCGATCTGTGGCTTGCGAGCTCCAAAGATCTTGTCGAACTGTAACAGCCTAGAGCGATCAAACAAAAGAATGTAGGACACAGGAAAAAATCATACCCGTAAAAAGCCAAGCGCGCTCAGGAGACCTCCAAATGCGCAAGCGCCGGCGCCACCGAGAAGAACTGGCTGGATGATGTGCATATTTGGAATCGGCTTGCCCTGCCTCACCGCATCCTTGAATCGCTTGAGCAAGAGCATCTGGCCAGTCGATACCCCCGCAAGAACCAGCGGCATCGGTGATGCTTGATGCACGGGCAGCAGCGGCACTGTCGGCGATGTCGCTGGCGGCGATGCTGGTGGCGATGGCGATGGCGATGGCGATGGCGCCTCCTCGAAGCCCCAAGCGCTCTCCCTCTTCTCCTCGTCGCTCATGCTAAGCAAGTAAAACCAACGATCCGGGGTTCCATTCCCATTCGCGTGCCCAATTTTTTAAAGGGCCTCATTATAAAAAGGGCAGTGGTTCGATTCCTTTCGCGAAATCTAGGGCTCTTCCAAAATGGAGGTGTGTTGCGACATTGATTCAAGATCTCCTCCTAAACCACTGCAAGAACCCTAGGTTGGGGCGCGAATTGGGATCTGATAGATGCAGCGCGCCTCATGGAAGATGCGCGTATTCTCCAGCAGCCGCCGCAGCCACAGATTCTCGCCCAGCAGCAGCGGCCGCAAGAGGATGAATGCGTAGCCGAGGCGTCGGGATCGGCAGTCGTGGCGTGGGGGACGCTCGAGGAGCTCTTCCTCGTGAGCGCAGTGGCCCGGCATGGGACCGGCGATTGGAGCTCCGTGGCTAGCGAGCTCCAAGCGCGGGTCAAGCTCCTCAGCCTGCCATCGTCGTCTTTCTCCCAGGAGGTAAGCATTCTCTCTTTGCGCTAGATCTTCCATTAGAAAAATGATATCTGGGCAATATTATTGAAATTTTGTTGTGTGGTTCTCGCAGGCCTGTAAGAGCAAGTTTGATGCTCTTTGCGGTCGCTATGGCGGATCGGGATACTGCAACGGTGGGAATGGAAGGTGATGGCTCACCATTTTTATTTTTTGTCGTTTGATAGATGATACAAGTTTTTTTTTTTTTTTTGGTTCGTGTAGAGAGCAGTACCCTTCATGGTTTGACGATGTTCGCAAACGAAGGATGGCACATCTCAAACGAGAGCTTGAGTGGCACGATGGGTGTATAGCGTGAGTAGTGCTTGGTTTTTGGAAAATTTTCTTTGTTCTGAGGTGGCCTTTGGCAAGGCAGGTCCTTGACAAACAGATTGAAGAGGCTCAAGGCTGAGAGAGCGCAGAGCTTGCAGGTTACGAGCAAGCAGCACGCTTCGGAAAAGCCTGGCGCTGGCTTAGTGGAGCATACAAAGCCAGCGGATCAAAGCGCTCCAGAGAGTTGTGTTGTCCAAGATGGGGACGTGGAAGTCGACAAGAGGAATCCTCCAGGTGGCGTTGGCACTGAGGAGACAGGGATCTCTAAGAGCAATGAGGTTTCGACCGTTGAAAATGATGCAAAGAGGGATAGTATGGACGAAGTCAAGAAGTATGAAGAAACTGCTGATGGGAAACCTGCAACAGAGGCGATGGAAGATGCGAAGGTGGCAACAGATGAATCTGCGGAGGTGGAGGCAGCCGACACAGAAAAAGCATCAGAAGCAGCGGTAAGGGATGTAGATATGGAGGATCAATCTCACAGTGCACAGAAGGTAGAAGTAGTCACAGATGTTGATACAGAGAAGCGGGTCGAGGATATAGATAAAGTAGTAGCAGATGGGTCGCATGAAGGAATGCGCCAGGATGAAGACGAGACAAAACCGGGTGGTGATGACATGGTTTGCTTGAAGAATGAAGCTGACATTGGCAAGAGTAAACAGTCCGAACGAGAAACTGCTAGTAAAGAAGTCGTTGCTTCTGATACCGAACCAGACGATGCAGCGCGGGCTCCCGTAAAGGATGGTACTTGTCAAGATGACGGAGATGGAATGGAAGGTGATGGAAAATCAACCGAAGTTTTATCGGAAGAGAAAAGGCAAGCACCAGCGGTGGAAGAGAAGGAAACTGTTGAAGCTGTTAGCTCTGATGTTCCTGGCGTTGAGGATATGGAAGATGCTAAGGTGGATAAGTTACCAATTGTTGATCAAGGGGAGCCATCAGCAATTGCCGCTGGCGATCCTAAGGCTTCTGCAGATGTTACCGGAGGCAAGGAAGCTGTCAGAGCATCCGACGGCAATTTTGTAGGATCTGCTTCCGAAAACACAGCAGTGGCTCCTACCACCGTCGAGTCAGGGAGTGAGATGCTTTTGGACACCGAGGGGACAAAAGCAAGTGACGAGCCACTTCCAGTTTTGAGTACGCATGTCCCGGAGGCCGAAGATGTTACGAAGTCGGATGCTAATCAGCCAGCAGACGACGACGTTGTCCAGGTCGACGGGTTGGTGGTAGATATTGTTACCGAGCAGCCAAACGCGAGGCGAGTCTCGCAGGACGAGAAGGAATCGAGCGCCAGTGCTGCTCAACATTCTTCGAGCACAGACGTAAAGCCTGCTGCGGATTTGAACGAGAAGAGCGACGAGTCACAGGGAGGAACTCGTCAGGCCGACTCAGTGGAAAAAGCTGACAATGCAGTGGTTTCGAGGGCCAGTACGCAGGACATTGGTTCTCCAGCAAGTGTTAACGAGGGCAGTGGCAGTGCTCTCGAGCAGTCGAAGGACAGCCGAGTTGAACGAAGTGATGTTGGCTCTCAAGCCGACGGGCCCGAGGACTCTCCAACAAGTAGGAGGACCAAAAACGAAACCGCGCACATCCTCAAGCTTCAACCTCTCATGGACTGCCTCCGGACGATTTCCAACCACAAGCAAGCTTCTTTCTTCAAGCAGAAACAAGAAAGCCAGGTACCTTATCCTTGATAGTTTATGTTAATTCGCTCTGTACTCGTGCAGGACGATCCTCGCTATGCTCAAGTTGTTCGAAGGCACATTGATCTCAACATGATAAGAGCACGCCTCAAGGAGGGAGCATACTCGGGCAGTCTGGAGTTTTTCCGGGACATCTTACTCGTCTTCAACAACTGCATCGTTTTCTACCCGCGAGATTCGCCGGAGCACAGCGCAGCGGTGGTGATGAGGAAGCTGGTGATGGAAGAGATGGACAAGCTGATGCAAGCAGAAGCCGGCGCTACAAAGCCCGACAAGGCGGCCCCGCGGAAGAGAGAGACCAAAAAGCCTGCTACTGCGCTCGAGAACTGTTCAACCAAAGCCACCGCCGCCACAGCAGTAAGCACGACACCAGCACGCCAGGCGAGTGTACCCGCGACGACTACTCCCACCACCACCACCACGACGACAACCACCGGAGCTGTAGAGAACGCGGCGAGCGACAACAGCAGGTCCAAGAGCGCGAGCTTGAGCCCCGGCGGCGGCGTTCCCAGCAGCAAAGGTGGCGGGGAAGAGGACGACACGCGAGAGGGGGGAGAGCCCGAGGTGGAGGGAGGCAAGGCCAAGCCGCTCAAGGCTTATGGCCGGAAGAACAGAGGTGGCGGAGGAGGAGGGGCCGGTGGCGGCGGTAGCAGCGAGCACAAGTCCGGCAAAGGCGTCACCAGAGAGAAGCCGCTGGATGCTATAGTGAAGAAGATTGGAAAGGCCGAGGAGGCCGCGGCGGCGGCGGCGGCGGCGGCGGCGGCGGCGGCGGCGGCAGTAGCAAGCAAAGAGAAGGAGAAGGAGAAGGAGAAAGACAAGGAGGAGAAGAAGGATCGAGCTAAGGAGCGCAAAGACTCCAAAGCCTCGGCTTCCAACCAGGACAAGCAGAGCTCGTCCAAGAAGAAAGGCAAAGGGGCTGCTGCTAGTGTAGTGAAAGAGAAGGAGAGCGATGGCGTTGCTCCAACTCCGAGCGCCACTGCTGCTACTCCGGCCGGTGGTGGTGGTGGCGCTACTGCTGCTACTACTGCTCCAGTTCGCGGCGTTCGAAACAAGAGATCGTCAGCCAAGGACGGCCAAAGGCCAGCGGCAAAGCGCGCTAAGAGATGAAAGAAGATGATGGGAGAAGGAAGCTCTCTATTATTTTTCTCTCTCGTTCTTTTCCTTTTCTTTCTTTTTTAAACTCAAGAATGCCTATGTTTTTTGATCATCACGAGAAACAATCTTTTCTTAATGTGTAGGTACATGCTTACAATTTATTTGTTATAGTTTTATTATTACATTAAAAGGATAATAATTTTCTAAACAATTGGTCGATTTCGTTATGTCACACATTAACACCTTTAAAGGTTACTATTTCGTGACCCTCAATCTTTTCCAAGCTTTCACGCAAAATACTCACCTTTAAAGGTTTTAATGTGGGATCGATCAATGGTTTATTTTCTGTTATGATAGCCAACAATACTCTTTTTTTTGGATTGATCGATCAATCAATCAAGATCAGCTGTTCAAGGACGCGGCCCACGATGATTCCACCCGGAGCAAGTGAAGCTTCTCCACGAATGGCTCCAGGATTTGCAAGTCGTGAACCGGCGCCACAGCCAGGCAAGCGCTCAGCTCCTGGAGAGCCTCCCCATATCGCCTGTGTTTCGCAAGTTACTATCTTGCCAGGACTAAAGAAGAGTTTTATACCTGGAATGATACAGGAGAAGCCCGTGATCTCGCCGCGTTATCCAGTCTCGCTGCAACAGCAACAGCTTCTCGGATGCCGCTACTGCAAGCCTGTGCAATCGCGAAACAAGGAAACAAGCACCGCTAAGCTGAGGAGGAAGAAAACCAAAAGCTTTTGCTTGCCTCAAGTCTTGCGGGCGAAGAAGAGTTTGCTCTTTGCCGAGACTAAGCAGCGGCACACCTTGGGCAGTGGCGAGCGCCAGTGGATGGAGCGGGGCAGCAATGTCGCACCCTGCATAAGCTTTGGCTGCTCGCTTCCAGTAGAGGCGCTGCAACAACAAAGCTAAGCACTATGGATGATCTACTGCTCCCTACTGGATGTGCAACAAACAGTCCAACCATGAAAACTATATCAGAAGTCGTGTATGCAAAGGAATAAAAGAAGAAAAGACTTCTTGCAGAGAAGGAAAGAAGTGAAAATGAAAAGGAATTCTACTCACTTTGAGCTTGCGCAGAAGAACCGATAAGATTGCCTGGTCAGAGACGGGTCGCAAGCCGCTTGTTGGATGAGGTCCAGCCTGCGGACCACTTGCAGCACTCGAGTGCTGCCTTACGTAACTTCCATCTGATTTTTTGGACCATATCTTTCCACCCTTGAAGGGCTCAAAGACCATCTGAGAACCACACACGCCAAAGGAGATACGATATTACCATCACTGGCAACATGTAGCTAACTTATACCTCCGCACTTAACCCTGTTTCGACTGAATCACCCCCACTGATAACCTGCAACACCAAACTCACAGTACACGGTTAGCTGAGATTCTGAACGTCAAAATCCTAAGCAGTGCGTAGAAAGTCACACCATACATTGTTTTCAGTCGAGGGCCAAACGAGGAAGTCATCCCCTACTGGTGCTCCGCTCACAGGTAAGCCCATTCTCCTGGAGAGCTCCATATAAAGGATGCCAAGCATTATAGCTGAAAGAAGAAAAAATACAACACAACGTAAGATCGTCAGGAAAAAAATAGTCAAAGACGCTTACCAGTTCCAGCACCGAGACTTAGAACCTGGTGCAAGTAAAAGTTACTAGGGTCCGTGGTTAGCGAGGATTTCTTGGTAAACGTCTTTAACACCTCCATTGGATGCTGACTCGTCTTGACGAGAGAATCTAGCTTATCCAGCCAATGAGCAATGCTCTGGCCCTCCAAATAGAGCGCGTCGGTGGGATATATTTTTGTATGCGGGAAAACACTTCGACCTTCCTTCTGCAAAGCTGCCATGTCCCTTTCTCGATTAGCCATTATAAAAGCTTCGTCTTCTATCGAAATCAACAGTGCAGCCTTCCACAAAAGAAAAAAAGGAAAAGATGAGATAAAGCGTCAGTCGGGTAGGCCATATACCTTTGCCAGAGAAACATTTTCTTTTCTTGTTACTTCTTCGCAAAAAGCCCGTCTAGCAAGCTTCATAGTCTACACGCACAGAGACAACGCAAGTGAGTACAAAGAGATCACGAAGAACCCATGAATGAATCAAACGGTTGTTACCTCGTTTTCAAGTTGGCCACTGCACGGCTTCGCCGTGCCACAGCTCATTGCCAGCAATTTATTAATGCAAGGTTTGGATTTGCAACGATTGTTAAAAGCCCTGTCGATCGATCACCAAGCGCGAGAATACACGATTAGTGACGTCAACAGTGGTGAATACAGTACCACGGTCTAATATCCACTCACCGGGATGAATGCGAGGAGCTCAAAATCGTTGCGTGACACAATGGATTCTGGCGCCGGCGATTCGCGCAGCTAGACCTGAGGGATGCGCAAGCCGCCGCGACGGGATTGTGGTGAAACAAGGCCAAAGCCATGCTCACAGAATTTTCCAAGCTTCCGCCAGTCCTGTAACAACAATGCCATGGAGGAAAAAATTAGCTTCGCGAAAAAGCGCAAGCAAAGAAAAGAAAAGAAAGAAACGGTGCCGGCATTCTATTCTAACCGATAGGATTGGGATGGATTCCACGTTACCTGAGAAAAATTACTTTGCGGTGCCAGGACCGATCGTGACGAGCCGGATGATTCAAGAAAATACGTGCTGCTGCTCCGGGCGGATCATAGATTGGCGTGGGAAGAAGGAGAAGAGGAGGAAGACCTTGCGCGGGCTGGCACAGCGGCGGGCGCCGACGGCATCGACGGGGCGGACCTCGAGACAGGGCCTTGATCCTCCGCGAAATTCAGCTTTCTCATGATGCGGTGTGCCGCATCGCCGGGTTCCATTGCGCGCTGCCGACGAAGAAGAAGAAATCGAGGAAAGAAGACCGCAATGGATCGGGAGCACCAGATCGAATCTATCTAGCCGATATTACATCGATTCAGCGGGAATGCGCCACCGATCGCCATGGCGGCGGATCCTCTGGGCTATGGCGGACGAGAAGGAAAACCTTGCTGGAAGGGATCCAAAATCAAATGCCCCTTTGCGTTTAAATAATCTCAGTCCAAATAACGGAGACCGTTCGCCAATTTTTTTTACTTACCGATAGGCCTACCGACGGAATGTACCTTCTTGGCTAGTAACGGAATATCCGCCACTACGCCACGTGTCACCACACCATTCCTTTTCCTCGCGCACACACAGAGTGTGTGTGCACACACGTCTACCATGCACGGCATAGGGAGTCATTGTCGTCCTCGTCAAGAGATCCACTCCATCTCGGACTAGCCACCTCGGACTCACCCCACGCTCGCTCATTAACTTTCTCCCTTGCAGTGACTGGGGCCGTCCAGCTCGGATCCCTTCCAAAACGAACGCCATTCCATCTCGGAGAAACCGGGAAAAGTCTATCATCTCGGACACTCCATCTCGGACTCTAGCCATATCGGACTCCAACTCGGACTGTTCCACCTTGGACTCGGGTTGCCAAGTTTCTCCCTTGCGGTGATTCTCGCTGCCAAGTTCCCTCCTTGCGGTGATTCTCGCTCATAGGATTGCCAAGTTTCTCCCCTACGGTGATTGGTGTGGAGCCGATCTCGTTTGTCCAGTCCCCAGCTCGGATTCCTCTCGAACAAAACCTCGGCTAACCGGGAAAGAATCAGTCCTGACTCCTGTGCTATTTGCTGTTGCATCGTGCCAAAAACTGGCCTCTAAATGATTGGCCGAGCGTTTGTCCGCCCCTTGCTACTAAGCAAAATCGCATTTTTTGTTTGAATGATCCTCTTTTGCGGTGTTTTTTGCGTGTCCTTGTCGCACCTACAAAGTGGGAACCACATCACAGTCAGGAAACCATTCACTGAGCGGATCAAACAAGCGAAAGAAAGGAAAGAAAAAAGAAAAAACGAAGCGACAAGAGATAAGATCACGTACCAGGAGCTAAAAACAAGATCACGATCCACCGGATATTTGCCATTGACGATCGCGCTCCCCAGCACAGCAGCGTTGTTTCATCGCTTGTTGTTACCGTGGCAATTTGGCGTAATGGAGGAGAAAAGCTTTTCATCTTTGCAGCGTGATCTTTCGCTCAGCTTTTGTCGATCGTCTGCAAAAGCTCTCAGCCACGATGACACCTGTCTCCAAAGAAACCGCTATGCACTTTTAACTTTGGAAGATGCGGGAGGATTGCGATTTTTTGATCCGAGAGCCACCTTGCTACTGTGAGTCGATCATCACTGATGCTTCTCGCTTTGTTGTGATCCAACACGCTTCCAGTTAGAAAACCACGCACGAAAGAGAGAAAAGAGCGATAAGAAAGCTGGGAAGATAAGATCACGTACCAGGAAATATAAAAACAAGATCATCGGCCACCGCGTTGCGTCTTGATAGAAACGCTGCGCTGGAGAGTAAGATTTCCACCAGTGCTGGCTCAGTGCTTATCGCCATCCGTGGCAACTTGACCCGGTCGATGCTGTTGACCAGATCTCTTTCCAGCGGCCACACTTTCCTGTCGCTCGGCCAGCCTTTGTCGATCGTTTGCGAGCGCGCTCAGCCACGACGAGTAGTCACTTCTCTCGATCGTGTTGTCGCTGTCACCGCTAGAAGTGCTGCTATCTTTCGTGATCCCGGTCGTCTCGGCTGCGTAGCCGAGTCCCATATGTCCTTGCTTGCGGAGATAACTCGCTAGCATGAACCGGCTGTGCTGGAAAACCTCGTCACCCTCGGGAGGATCATCGTGCCTCCGGCTGTAAAACGTTTTCTTGATCCGGGACTCTCGCTGCTCCTCATCTTGCCGCTGCTGTTCTTGCTTCTGGGCCATTGCTACCTGCTGGCTCTTGCTAAGATCGCTGATTCTCTGCGAAGTTGACAGTGCCAGCGGCCGGAAAGCTTTGAGAACCGGCAACTCTGGAGCCGAGCCATCCTGGTCGAGCTCTCGGAGCTCCCGGCATGTCTCCGGACCATCGTTCTTGGTCCAGAGATCCACCCCTCGGCAAGTCTGGAAGCGGTGAGCCATCTCCTTGATCTTGGGATCCTTGTCGATCTTTGGAAGCGATGGCGCCTCTGGATGGATTTTCTCCCAGGGCCGGAGTGGCATCAACGCCATTATCTGAGCCCTCC